TCTTGAGAGATCACAAAACAAGGGTTGGAAATAATAGATTGCTACTCATAGTTAAGAACACACTTTGAATCCTTAAAGCTGTATTCATTTGGGATTAGAATTCTAAAAATATAGACCTCCATTTCAGTATGCTATTAGTGATAAAGACTAAGAATTGTTTATAAAATGAAATCGAACATAAACCAAAGCTTTAAAGTCAGTGGAATGATTTGAATACTTGATTTTTTGGGAAATTTGTGAGGAGGAAAGTGACAGATCAAACTTTTCTGAACAGTGTACCAGTGACCCTGTGTCATCCAAATTACTCCACTGAAAAACACTTCCAAGTACATAAGTAAAATTGTTAAAGGTTTATTAGTGTTTCTTACAGCTAGCTTTTTTTTTTTATATAAAATTTATTGTCAAATTGGTTTCCATACAACACCCAGTGCTCATCCCAACAGGTGCCCTCCTCAGTGCCCATCACCCACTTTCCCCACCCTCCCACCCCCCATCAACCCTCAGTTTATTCTCAGTCTTTAAGAGTCTCTTATAGTTTTCCTCCCTCCCTCTCGTTTTTTATTCCCTTCTCCTCCCCCCATGGTCTTCTGTCATGTTTCTCAGGATCCACATAAGAGTAAAAACATATGGTATCTGTCTTTCTCTGTATGACTTATTTCACTTAGCATAACACTCTCCAGTTCTATCCACGTTGCTATAAAAGGCCATATTTCATTCTTTCTCATTGCCAAGTACTATTCCATTGTGTATATAAACCACAACTTCTTTATCCATTCATCAGTTGATGGACATTTAGGCTCTTTCCATAATTTGGCTATTGTTGAGAGTGCTGCTATAAACATTGGGGTACAAGTGCCCCTATGCATCAGCATTCCTGTATCCCTTGGGTAAATTTCCTAGCAGTGCTATTGCTGGGTCATAGGGTAGATCTATTTTTAATTTTTTGAGGAACCTCCGCACTGTTTTCCAGAGTGGCTGCACCAGTTTGCATTCCCACCAATAGTGCAAAATGGTTCCCATTTCTCCACATCCTCTCCAGCATCTATAGTCTCCTGATTTGTTCATTTTAGCCGCTCTGACTGGCGTGAGGTGATATCTCAGTGTGGTTTTGATTACAGCTAGCTTGTTAATCTTAGACAAAATTTATGAGTTGGTTGAACATATATATGCTGTACTTATTTTGAATACAAATTTTCATTATTTAAAATCATTATATTTTGGTTTTGTATTTTCCCTTTTATGTTAATTCTATCTGGTTTTACTGTTGCTAATTTCTTGATTAGGAATGCAAACTCCCTATTAAAACATTACTTTTATGATGAGAAGAAAGCATTAATTTTATGATGTGGTTTCTCGGGTTATTTATTGAATAACTGACTTTTGAGGCCTGGGGAGATAGAAAACTTAACCATTCACCGTATTCCTCACATTCTTTTTTTTATTTAACTTGGTACCTACTCATTTTTTTTTTTTTAAGGATTTTACTGTTTGTTTGTTTGTTTCTTTGCTTTTGAGAGTGTGGGAGGTGGGGAGCAGAGAGAGAGGCAGAGTACCCCACGCAGGTGGGGCTCGAACTCACCACGAGATCGTGACCTAAGCCGAAGCCAGGTGTGTAACTGACTGAGCCGCCAGGTGCCCCTTACTCATTTTTAAAATGATTTTTTTTTAGAAATTAAAATACAGTGTTGCATGTAAAATGAAAGTGTTTTTTAATGGATATGATATCAGGTATTTTATCGTAATGTTAATTTTTATATGTTGGTATTTTTTAATTAGATACTGTTTTAACCTATGAGACAGGTAGTATATATTTTAACAGTATTGATGAATTGTAGGTATGTGTGTTGTGTTTATATGAGGGTTTAAAATTGTTATGTGTGTTTTCACTAGTTTATAAATGTTTCTTTCTTAAAAAGATGAAAATATGGTAGGATAGATTTGACAGCTGCATTCTAGAAGGTATACTTATAAAGCTAACATTTCATCGTGCGAAAGAAATAATGTAATAAAGATCTAAAAACAAAATAATTTCTAAATGCTCAGCTGATATCTTGAAAATTCTAGTGTAATAACAAAATTGTAATTTGTTCTTAGAGTTTTTCAGAATGTGATTAAGCCAAGAGTTAAAAATGGTTAAGATTTATTGAATGATTTCTGTGTGCCAGGCAGAGAGCTTTGTACTTTATGTGTGTTATCTAATTTGATCTTCACTGTAACTTCATGAAATAAGTTGCATGTATAAAGTAAAGCAAGGCACAGAGAGTAATTTGCCCAAGGTTGTACAGATAATAAATGGTTGAGTCAGAATTTGAATGTGGCATTCATTCTTCACCATGTTTTACTGTTTACTGTTAATAAATGTTTAAAGTACACAGTATACAGCAGAGTAGAGAGCTGAATTAAGCCAGAGAGATTATTAGTTGAACTAAGAACTGAGACCCAAAATTACAAGGTGATTTGACTGCAGGTTGTAGTAGTGCTGGGGGCTATAACTTACCTCTTCTGGCTTTTAGCCTAATGCTCTTTTTTAATGTGCAGACTCTACAGTTGGGGTTTGTGGAATTAATCTTTTATCAGAAAGTAAATTCAACTATATCTAGTACATAGCACACCTGTGTCATACTGTGTGCTTATGTACCAGATCAAATGCCTTACTTTCATTCAACACAGTGACATTGCATCAGGTGACAGCTATCAGTGGCTAAAAGCAAATTTTTCAATTAAGAATGTAGACCTACATTTTTACTGATTTTTTTAAATTTGTAGAAAAAATTATTTAAGATAATAGCTTAATTTTGGATATATAAAAGCTGAAACAAAAAATAGTGAAATAGGAATTAAAATTATTTATATAAGCAGTCTCCCAACAGTGAATGAATCATTTTCTAAACAGTCTTTGATAAGTCAGTTAATTGGAATTCATTTTTTTCTTCATAGAAACAAGTGTATTAAACTTGGCATGGAATGAGTCTGTAGCTGAAGTAGAGTATTCTCTTTTTTCTGGCTATTTTGGGGCTAAGTCTGAGCTGTAGAAGCTATTAGAAATGTTTTGGAACTTTGAGATCCATACTGCATATCTTTGCTGGATATTCCACTTCAGTGACAGCTGACTTAATCCTTCATAGAATTCCATGCCTTACCACCAAAATTCTGCAGTGTGACCTGAGAGGTTTTTATGATGATAGTTTTGGCATGCTTCAGTGGCTGAGATGACAAAAGAATCCATGAAAGTGTTTGTTCATTAACGGAACAAAATATGGCAATGATTTGTTAGTCCAGTGTTGTCCAATTGTAAGGTTCTGTAGCTGCACTGTCCGATACAGTAGCGACCAGCCACATGTGGCCTTGAGCGTTTGACATGTGGCTAGTAAAACTGAGAAACTGAATTTTACATTTTATTTAATTTTAATTAATTTAAACTTAAATTGTCACATGTGGCTAGTGGCTACTGTACATCACAGGGCAGCTTCAGGCTGAATTTATGATTCAAGTTTCATCTGAGGACTTCCAACTTTTTATAGTAGGCTACTATGGTCCTCAGGCTTTTGAAGTAGGTTATCTTAAAGTCATCTCTGTCATAATAGGCACTGCATGTCTAATTCATATAGACAAGTCATTCATTAATTGAATATTTGTAAATTGAATACTAATTACAGAATTTTGGTAAGAGATATTTGTATGGTCACTTAGCAAAATATCTATGTGTCAACTATGTAATATTTAATATAACCATTATGTATGACCCAATATGATTATAACTACTCAAATAAAAAATATATATGAGTCTCATAAGCTGTGTAATTGTGGCACTTAAAAAATATTCTGTATTCTTGGTAACAGTAGGTTCTTAACATGAGCAAAAATTGTTATGTATATATTTCCTTGACATATTTGTAATACTGATACTGTTTAGAGATAAGCTATAACTATTTAACTGAATTAAGAGGTGCCTGGGTGGCTCAGTTGGTTAAGTGTCTGACTCTTGATTTCAGCTCAGGTGATGATCTCATCATTCTGAGTTCAAACCTCACGTTGGGCTCTGCACTGGCAGTGTGGAGCCTGCGTGCAATTCTCTCTCTCTCTCCCTCTGTCTCACCCTCACTTGTGCTCTCTTTTTCAAAAATAAATAAACTTAAAAAAAATGAAGGCTATGAGTACTTATGTTTTTTAAGTTTATTTTATTTATTTATTTATTTATTTATTTATTTATTTATTGATGTTTATTTATTTTTGAGACAGAGGGAGACAGAACATGAGTTGGGGAGGGGCATAGAGAGAGGGAGACACAGAATCTGAAACAGGCTCCAGGCTCTGAGCTGTCAGCACAGAGCCCGATGTGGGGCTCAAACCCACGAACCATGAGATCATGACCCGAGCTGAAGTTGGACGCTTAACCGACTGAGCCACCCAGGTGCCCCAAGTTTATTTATTTTTTTAAGTAATCTCTACATCCAACTTGGGGCTTGAACCCACAACCCTGAGATCAAGGGTCACATGCTCTTGTGACTGACCCAGCCAGGTGCCCCAATGAGTAGTTATTTTTGGATGAATTAATCTACACTGAAATATATCTAATTAATTTCTTTCTTTTTAAATTCTTTGGTAAAAAATAAGAAAAATACAATTTATTTAAAGTTATGTTTTCTTATGGAAGTAATTACACTTATACCTGAAACATGAATAAGTAACAGTTAAAGATTAGTATCACTTAGCATTTCAAAATTCAGACTTACTAAAACAATACATTATGAGGTGATTACTCATTTTTACAAAAAGATTAAAAAATTATTTTTAATAATTCAGACTTTTTCAAGTAGTAAGTACTTAAGAGAATTACCATTTTTATTACTAAATTCTTGAATGAACCAATTATGTAAAGTGAGTTGTAAGTAAAAGTCAGACATATCGAACTTAAAAATTGAGCTTTTTATAGGAAAAAAGATTAAATATGTGTACACTTAATGAGATCCACTCTAATACTAGGTATCTTTATTTTATAGGAAGGAAAACAAATACAAATTGCTGTCTTGTCTGGAATCACATGGTGAGTTTTGAGACCAAAATTAGATCCAAGAATTTCTGAACCCCAAGTTTCATGTTTCAATATTTGGCATTAAAGTGACTCATAAAATTGACTGATATCATGTGTCAGTACTCAGGTGACAATTTACAGAAAGTCAACTCTGCAACTTGATGGGCGACAACCCTTTTCAGCCAAAAAGTAAGTGTTGCTGCCACGACTGATAGTAGTATATGTGGCTTTTGTACTGATAAATTTGCTTCAGTAGAAAGAAGGAAGGGTAGGCACACTTTCTTAAAGACAGAAAAACATAAATTTATTGGAGTAACATGCTCACATAAAAAATGATGTAAATTAAAACGTGAGTAAAGTAGAAATGAAGTTTTTTTCTTACGCTCAGTGATAACTGCTAGTTTGGTGTATATAATTACCTGTATTTTTTCTATGCATAGACAAAAATATAATTATTTATAAAAATGTAAAGATGTTATTTGTCTTAAAAAATTGTTTTCTCAACAATGTATCCTAAATGTATTGACAATGGCATTACCCTGTTAAGAAGAATGAACAAGATCTTTGTCTTCTGTATTAGTTTGCTTGGGCTTCCATAATGAAGTATCATAGACTGGATGGCTTAAACAACAGAACTTTATTTCAGAATTTCTCACAGTTCTAGGGTCTAGAAGTACAAGTTCAAGGTGTTGGCAGGTTTGATTCCTTTTGAGGGCCATAAGGGAAGGATCTGTATCACGTCTCTCTCCTTGGCTTAGAGATGGCCATATGCTTCCTGTGTCTTTGGATGGTTTTACCTTTAAGCATGTCCTTCATCCGTGTCCTGATCTCTTCTTCTTCTTTTTTTTTAAACGTTTATTTATTTTTGAGACACAGAGAGACAGAGCATGAACGGGGGGGGGGGGGGGGGTCAGAGAGCGGGGGCACACAGAGTCTGAAACAGGCTCCAGGCTCTGTCAGCACAGAGCCTGATGCGGGGCTCGAACTCACGGACCGTGAAATCATGACCTGAGCCGAAGTTGGCCGCTTAACGACTAAGCCACCCAGGCGCCTCATGATCTCTTCTTTTAAGGACATCAGTCATACTGGATTAGCACCCACCCTGATAACTTCATTTTCATCTCATTATCTCTTAAAGACCCTGTCTCCAAACACATTAAGATTGTGAGGTACTGATGGTGAGGACTTTAATGCATGAATATTAGAGAAACACAATTTAGCCCATAACATTTACTAACTGGAAACTTTTATTATCCATTTACAAGTTTCCCTAGGCAAGTTTAAAAGCTAGGCATTGCCTAACTTCACTTAGTTTCCTAGCCATAGATTATTATATACTCTGTGCTTACTGCCTGTCTAGTGTGTAGAGAAATACACTCAAAAGAGTTCAGTTTGGTCTTGGACATATAGTAATATTTTTAGTTACTTTACTTGAAGAACTCTATGTAGTTAATAAAACATTATAGTTTAGAAAATAAAGGGATCAATTAATATGTTTATGACTTTTGGGAAAATGGAAAGGCCTTCTTTTTTTTGGTAGGTGGACTATTAACATTTAAATAATGTTAAGACAGGAAATGATTTGTGACATACTTTTATAGAAAGGAAAAAATTTAAAAATTTATAAAATAATGGTTCTTAATTTGATAAGGTATTTCTTTTGTATGCCATCAAAGAATTGTTTCAGTTAGTATGTTTTAAGACCTGGTAGAACATTATCCTAATTTTGAGTCAAAAGTAGAAGTGGCATTACTTTAATATAATAAAAAATTACCTTTAGAAATGACTATATTTAAATGATAAATGAAATATATTATTGTCAAAGCTAGAACCCTGGAGGGTTTTTTTGGTTGTTTGTTTTGTAGACCACCACCCATCTCATTCTGTGTATCAGTTAAGCACCACTTATATCTAGTTGGGATATAAGTTTAGGCCTTCAGTACTGTTTCTCTTCTTTCCCCTCTTCCCCTCTTCCTCCTCTTCTTTTTTCTCCATCTTAGCTTAAAGCAATCAATATATGCAGATAATTTAAAAAGTCAGATAGTCCAGGGACGCTTGCATGGCTCAGTTGGTTAAGCGTCCATCTCTTGATTTCCGCGCAGGTCATGAGTGCAAAGTCCAGCTCAGGGCTCAATCCCAGGAACTGCTAGATCATGACCAGAGCCGAAATCGAGAGTGGAATGCCTAACCGACTGACCCACCCAGGAGTTCCTATCATATTTTTAATCTTATTTTTTGTTTTGTGAATATTACTTTTTATAACATTCTTTCTTATCTAATATCTCTAAAGATGCAAATTGTATTTTCTTTAATATTTTTCTTGCTCTCTGCATTATTTCTTTTCCTTAGGATTCTTTATCTTTTTTATTGATTTGTTCTAAAAGACAGGAGATTTTCCTAAACTTTCTGGTGTTTATTGATTGTCCATTAATATTTAAGAGTGAAGTATTAAAATGCTTCGTAGGAGTTCTGTTCTTTGTCAGAACTTCTAGGATGGTGTATGTTCATATTTACTGCATGTTCTTTGGTCTCTTTCTTTAGGTGAGAAATGGTCTAATTTGCCCCGAATGGAATAAGTCTCACCTTGTTCCCTTATTTTAGTCTAGCATCTCATCACTGCTTTGTGTCTAGAATTCCTGAATTTGGTTTAGTTTTACTAAGTATATCTCCCAGGAGATGCCTCCTAGTCTTAGTTTATTTCCCATTTGTTAATATCCCCCCCTCCTCCCGATAATGGTTAGGTACAGTCCTTTTGTAGATAAAATTATATTCCAGGCATATGACTAGAACTCATTTTTACTTTTCCATTAAATAACTACTACTGTCAAGCATTATCTGTCTAAATTGGTTTGTATCTTAGAGAGTGAGCTCTGAGTTTCTCACTTGCTGCCATGCACTGTCTACAAATATCAAGTCACATTGCTATTAGGATGATTAAAGTAGATTTTAAATATACTATGAATTTTTAAAAGTGTATTTTTCTTTTTGAAAATAAGGTTTGCTTCTCTCCTTTTGGAAATTAGATAATTCAAAAATGGCAGAACTCTTTATGGAATGTGAAGAAGAAGAGTTGGAACCATGGCAGAAGAAAGTAAAAGAGGTTGAGGATGATGATGATGATGAGCCAATCTTTGTTGGAGAGATATCAAGTTCAAAACCAGCAATTTCAAGTAAGCATTTACTTTTAGTGAAGCCAAGTTTTATAAAATATTGTTTCTAATGGGAAAAATTGTGAACTGCTTTATAAGGACATAAATTCCTTGGAATATTACCATATTATAAAATAGTAACTCAAATTCTGTTAGTGAAAACATGACGGTTAAGGTCAGGTTGAATTTATACCAATTAGGGATGACTGATAACAGTATTCAACTAGAACAATGTATATTAGTTTTAGAATAATTCTTTCCAAAAGGAGATTGACCCCAGTAGAAATTCTCTTCTGGACTGTTAAGATGCAGAATTTAAATGAATTTATTGTTGTTAAGGTATAAGCCATAAAATATTTTAGTATGTGGAATATGAGTCAAGTGTTTATATAGAACTGCTAGGTAGGAGGGTACAAACTTGTGTTTTGTAGAATACAGCCACTAAAAAGTACTTCAGCCAATCGTTCTTTGATGGTTGGAGTAATACTTAATCTTAAATTTCTGAATGAAAATGGTGTCAGGTTGTTTGAACAGGTTTTTATTCTGTAAGACATTTGTAGTGCTTAGATATACAGTACTGCATTGCCATTATCAGAAAACAACTCTACTTTTGTGTGGCCTTTACTTTATAGAGTTATTTTATGTGATCTGGTTCTATTTTTACTGTGAGGTAAAAAGGAAAATTTTTATGAGGTATGAGGTGCTGTTTGTGCTTTTACCTTTTCCTGACCAGCAGGTTTTGGCAAATCCCCACTCTTCCAATTTTAGCTTGATTACCAAAAAATCTAGAAGTTACAGAGGTAACACACATGTCAGAATCAGGAACTTTCAAGTGATCCTGAAAGTTAAATTAGGCTCAGATTGACTTCAGGTGTACTGGTAGATTTGAAACCCCTTAAGTTATAAGATACCCTGATAAACTGTAAGTTGTTTTAGTCTGCAATCTCTGTTAGGTTTTCCCTTTCAGAATTCTTCAGAGTAGGGGCAGCTGGGTGTCTCAGTCAGTTAAGTGTCTGACTCTTGATTTTGGCTCAGACATGATCTCACGGTTGTGAGATCGAGCCCTGTGTCAGGCTCCGCTTTGAACGTGGAGCCTGCTTGGGATTCTCTCTATGTCCCTCCCCAGCTTGGGCTTTCTCTGTCTCTCTCAAAATAAATACATTGAAAAAAAAACAACTCAAAAGTAATGCTACAGATAATCCAATGAGATCCCTTATAATAACACTTCCAAGGCTTCTAGAGGTGTGAGTGGGATATGGAGGTTGGATAAGGTTTGATTTTGAGTGGTAGGATCCTGAGTCATCACTCAAAGAAAGATACCTATGCTAATTATAGACTGCATATACATATATTTTTGGAAGATTTTTATTATGTGGACCTTTTCTTTACCATGAAAGAAACTTTAGGAAGTTTGACTTATATGTAGTCAGATTTATTAATCTTTTACTTCTGGCTTTTAGATTTTGAGTTACAATTAGAAAGTTTATTCTTATTCTATAAAAGAAGGCTAGTAATCTTGTTTCTTTGGTAGATAAAGATCTATATGTTTAAAATTAATCATATATATTTTTTAATGTTTATTTTTGAGAGACAAACATTTTTTTTTTAATTTTTTTAACATTTATTTATTTTTGAGACAGAGAGAGAGGGAGACACAGAATCTGAAACAGGCTCCAGTCTCTGAGCTGTCTGCACAGAGCCCGATGTGGGACTCGAACTCACGGACCATGAGATCATGACCTGAGCCGAAGTCGGCCCCTTAACCGACTGAGCCACCCAGGTGCCCCGAGACAAAAATTTTTGAGAGACAGAGCACAACTGGGCGAGGGGCAGACAGAGAGGGAGACACAGAATCCAAAATGGTCTCCAGGCTCTGAGCTGTCAACACAGAGCCCGATGTAGGGCTCGAACTCAGAACTGATGAGATCATTACCTGAGCTAAAGTTGGACACTTAACCAACTGAGTCACCAGGTACCCCCAAATTAACTGTATTCTTAAATCAGTGATAACTTATATACTTCTGGGAATCTATTTGATTGTTTCAGTTCATGATTTCTGTTTTATTCAAATAATGAATTTTAAAATCACTGTAATTTTTTGTAGATATTTTGAATAGAGTAAACCCAAGCTCATATTCAAGGGGAATAAAGAATGGTGCGCTCAGTCGAGGTACAGTATTATTTTAGTATTTTATTTTAAAGTGAAGTATTTTGACATCATTGATTATATCTAAATATATTCAATGCACTGTTTAATTTTAAAATACAGGTATTACTGCTGCATTCAAGCCTACAAATCAACACTACACGAACCCAGCATCAAATCCAGTAGCTGCCTCGCCTGTAAATTTTCATCCTGAATCTAGATCTTCAGATAGTTCTGTTATTGTTCAGCCTTTGTCTAAACCTGTAAGTGTTTCTAAAACTACACAGCTCAGGGATACATTGGATATTATTTATCAGTATAAACAATGCCAATTAAAATTCTGCATTGTCGTGGGTAGTCATCCAATAGAAGCATAATCAGCATCAGGAATGTCACTATCTATATGATAGCTCAGCCAGTATCCAGAGTAATATTGGAAGGAACTACTGATGTAGTCTGTTCCTAAATCAGGTAACACACTTAAATAGTAAGGCATTGGAATTTGCGATAACAAAACATGAATAAAAGTATTACGAATATTGCATAATGGCAAAAATTGTAAACTGGGTCAAATGTTCTTAGTTCTTAATTGGAAAACTTAGGACATTGTAGCTTTTTATTCTGAAAATATACCTTCATAATTTAGTTCACTTAAAAAATTCTTAACAAAAAGTAATAGTTAATGGTAATAGTTAATATTTGTAATATTTATGAGGCTTTGTTGTAAATGCTATACATAAATTAATCATTTAAGTCTTAAACGACCCTGTGAAGAGGCACTATTATTATTTTTCCTGTTTTATAGTTGAGGAAATTGAGGCTCACAGAGGTTAAATAATTCATTTAAGGTCACACAGATGGCAAATGATAGATCTAGAATTTCAATCCAGACTAACCCACAGTTTCTATGTATTTGTATACATATGTACATATAGGTATGTGCGTGTGTGTATGTGTGTATACTTAATATATACTTAAAATGGAGCCATTGCCTTACTGTAGCAGTTTTCAAAGTATAGTCTTCAGTCCCTGGGGTTCCTCTGAGACTCTTCCATGGGTTTTGAGAGTCAACACTATTCTCATGATAATACAAAGACATGATTTGCCTTTTCTTTTTTTTTTTCTTTTTTTATTAAAAAAAAATTTTTTTTTCCCAACGTTTATTTATTTTTGGGACAGAGAGAGACAGAGCATGAACGGGGGAGGGGCAGAGAGAGAGGGAGACACAGAATCGGAAACAGGCTCCAGGCTCTGAGCCATCAGCCCAGAGCCTGACGCGGGGCTCGAACTCACGGACCGCGAGATCGTGACCTGGCTGAAGTCGGACGCTTAACCGACTGCGCCACCCAGGCGCCCCCATGATTTGCCTTTTCTACTGTGTTGACATATGCACCGATGATGCAGAAGTAATGGTGGGTAAACTGCTGGTGCCTTAGTATAAATCAAGACAGTGGTACCAAGCTGTATGAGTACTTTTTATATTCGTCCCCACTGTGCACTCCCAATAAAAAATATTCATGCTCAATTTCCTTGATGAAATGTTATTAATTTTGTTAAATCTCTACCTTTCTATGTGTCTTTTAAAAATATTTTGTGTGATGAAATAGTATGCGAAAGCACTATTGTTTCCAAAGTTTGATGATTATCTTAAGGAAAAGCACTTATGTGATTCAGTTGTGAGCTAAACTACCCACTTTCTAAAAAATAGAAGACTACTTTTACTTGAAAGCAAGACAAGCCATAGTATATTATTTATTTTTGTGTATCAGTAATATCACAGTCTTCATGGTGTAAAACCACACACATTGTCTCACAGTTTCTGTGGGTTAGGAGTCAGGTCATGACTTAGCTGGATCCTCTGCTTCAGGTTCTCATGAAGCTACTTTCAGGGTGTGGACACTGAGTGGAGACTTATCTGCTTCCAAGTTCTCGTGGTAGTTGGCAGCATTCAGTTTCTTAAGGGTTGTCAGACTGAGAATCTCACTAAATGACTGGCTTTTGGCTGGCTTTGCCACCTGAGTTTTCCCAGTTTGGCTTCTTACATGCTCAAAGCCCATGAGAGAGAATATGTAGCAGAATGCCATGCTGATCTAATGTAATGTAATCACATACACAAAATCATGTAATCCTGTTACCTTTGTTGTATTCTCTTGGTGAGAAGCAAGTCACATGCCTTGCCCACACTAAAAGGAAGGGAATCATGCAGGACATGAACACCATGGGGTGGGGATCATAAAGGCCACTTGAGAGTTTGTTTGGTGCACATTGTGAGTTATTCAGTTTTGGTTATTTGGTAGACATTTCCTCAAAACTGAACAAAGTGCACACTTAAAGGAAAATAACTGATAGCATTTCTTCCCAATAATAAAATTGAGCTTTCAAGCACAAATTAGAATTTTGGAAAACTTGTATCAGCCACTATGATCTGACAGCTTCCCAGTACTTAAAGACTTTTCTGATGGGTGGTACAGTTAATAAATGTGATTTTTTGTTATTGTATAGTGAATTCTGTTAACATTTGGAAGATAATCATAATTCACAGAAACCAGTATTTTTGAAATAACCAGTGTATGATATTATAAAATCATGCATGGGTAAAAGATCATTCAAAGTGTAAGATAGACTAATAGATTTTATTTTAACAAAGTACAAAAAATTCAGTGATAAGGAGTCAGATTCCACATTGCAGTAAATCTTTAAGAAAATATCAATGTTGAATTTTGGTGTGGTATCAAAGAAGTGTACCCATAGTTATCCCAACTTGCTATTAAAATACTCCCTTTTTCAACTATATATCTTTATGAAGCCAGATTTTCTCTATATTTTTCAAATAAAATAACATACTCTAACAGATAGAAAACAGAAGCAGATATGAATCTGTAACCGTTTTTGATTAAGCCAGACATTAAAAAGATTTTCAGAAATGTATAACAGTGCCATTCTTTTCACTAATTTTTTATGTGTTGTAGGATAGTCACTTTTCATAAAAATGTTATTTATGTTAATCTATAATGCGTTTATTGTTATTTAAAATAAATATTTAATGTCTAATATTATAAATATCAATAGATATAACCCAACTAAATAAAACCTTTTGGGCCCTCAGTAATTTTTAAATGTGTTAAAGGGGTCCTGAAACCAAGGAGTTAGAGTACTAAAACAAAAAGTTACCCAAAATGTAAAGGTTCTTTGCTATTAGTTGGAATTGAATTAACTCAGTGCTTTTTTCATGTATATCTATCATAAGCTATTTGGCACTGACCTTAGAGAAATAATAAATTTTAATGAAAATGTTTATTCTTTTGACAATAAGGGAAACTTCCAAAGCACCTATAAATTTTCTTGCAGATGTCCAAGTTCAAAACCAGAACTGAATCCAAATACTTTTGTGAGGAATAATATATTTTTTCTGTATTTCATATTACTATTAGGTAATCTGCAGATCTGTTAGCACTAAAATTGATATTCTGAGGTTTTATTTTTCATAAAAGTTATTTTAATTGTAATTTATGTAAAAATGAAAAGGAAGGCTGTAGATTTTTAAATCTATGGCTAAGTAAATTGAACTCCCACTTATATTTTGAAGAGGTTATATATCATAAAAAAATAAGAATATCTTTGGGCAAATGTTTCTGTCCCCTGAGTTGTTAATGACTTGAGATAATTATTATCTGAAATAATAACTCATAGTGATATCAGCTCTAAGTTAAAAAACTTAGATTGAAGCAAGAGACTTGAATGCTGATTCAACCTTGCTCCTTAGCATTGTCAAAACCTCTTTGAGCCTCATTTTCTTAATTTCTAAAGTGAGAGATTTTACCCAGACCACTGACTCTATCTTGGATCCTAAGGTTATGCAGGTTATTTCTGGGATTTCAAAAGTTGGAAAGCTACTTGAAATGTATTAGTTGGATCACATTAACTCAGTATACTTTCTATAAGTTGTCAACTCTGTATACTTTCCATAAGTTGTTGGCTTTTGCAGGATAGAAAACTGGAAAAAGAAACTTTGTTATTTAATTCAGTTTGATAAAAAATCTTTCTGACTTGGACCCAGGAAGAAGAAAGAAAAACAAAAGGCAGGGTTGTACGTTAGTGTTATAAAAGTTAGAAACTAGAGCTTTTTCTAGCTGAGAATATTTATTTCTCTGGGCATAGTTTTAAAATCAAAACACCTCAGTTGGTGTTTCCCAATCTTATAAGTTCTTAAAAGGAGAGATTGTGCCAGTTGGTCTATGTGGGTCCTACAGATGAAATATTGTAAAAAACTCTCCAAGTGATTCTAATTTGCAAAGTTAAGAATGTCATATATTCTGGAATGAATTGAGACCCCTCTATTTAAGGGAATTTACTCTGAAGTTAGGAAGCCACTGCTTTTAATAAATTATAATTACAGTTTTTCATTTTTTGGTGTGTGCACGCACACTTTTTCATGGAATATCTTTATACCTCAATATCTCTTTGAGATCTCTTGCAGATGGCAGGGATATATTATTATCACTTATAATAAAGTTAGTGTGATATAGCCTAATGGTATAGCCTTGGAAATAAGGCCTCGATTCTAATTACAGCTACATCAACAACAAGCAGCTGTATTGGGAAGCCTTATGTAACCACTCCTAAACTTAGTTTACCTATTTATAAAATAGGGTATAACGTTAGGTTTTTATTAGTAATGTGACAACTACTTGATTTAATACATACATGTGTCATGAAGTACAAGTACATTTAAAACACAATTGTGGCCATTATTTCAGTTTGATAGGTGAATAACTTGAAGCTCAGAAGTGACTTGCCCAAGGTTACATAGTTAAATGTGCCAGTCTTCTGAATCTCAGTCTAGTGTCTGTTCCACCCTTACTATTCCATTTGATATCTTTTTGAACTGTTTTTTAAGACATTAAAAATTCCCTGTTGGAGAATTATTTTAACCAATTATTATTGAATACTATGTGCCTGTCCTCTGAAATTGTTGAGCTTAATTAACCAGAGTTGTTTTCCTAATAAAGTATTAACAGTATTAACTTTGTATTTCTGTTAAAGAACTATTTTGTTAAATACATGTGAATATTTTCTATTTTTTAAGTGCACATTGGGAGAAAATATTTATTATGAAATAAGATTGTGCTTTTTTACAGTGAAGTCATGACATTACTGATTTTTTATATTACATTGTTAAGGCCCAAATAAAGATCATTTACCTGTTATTTCTCAAAATTTAGAAGTGGTTTGAGTTACTTACACACTTGTTTCCATAGCTTCCAAGAGCAGAGCAGCTGGTCCAGATTATTCCTATAAACAGTTTCCATTTTAAATAAACCCTGTTTGCCTGGCTTTCTTATTTGTTTACCCTGTTGATCAGGTAGCTTTCATATTTATCCTATGAAATGGAAGATTACCTGGTCTAGCATGGCTTTCTGTGGAATGGTAGGAAGAGTGGGGTGGGGCGGGGTGGGGGGACACCCATTCTTTCTTTTCCTGACCCTTGCCTTATAAATTTTTCCAATTAGGATGATTACAAAACTCAAACCATGTGATATATTCATCCCTAAACCTGATGCCCAGCACCACAGATTGACTTCTAATTTGTTTGCCCTAATATTTTGTCTTGGGGTGGGGGGTTTATAGAGATACAGAAGCTTTTATAGTTATGTCAGTATGTTTTCATATTTGTTTTCCTTTTACCCAAAGATTTTGATAAGTTTTACTGTTTTCTCTTTGATAGGAATACTGTATTTTTAGTAGCCCTCTAAAGTGTATCAATCCTATTGATTTAAAATGAGTATATGTTTCCTTGATCTTGAAAAAAATCAGACTAAAATGTGCCCGGTTTTAATTTGCTAGTTAGGAACAAATCAGCTGTAAGTAATAGCTTCTGTTCAGTTTTAGTAGATGATAATTTTGACAGTAATAATTACCTTTGTGTTTTATAACTTATTAATTACTAATTGAGTCATCAAAAGCTATTCTTACAATATTGAGATACAGTTAAGTTTACCTTTAGAAAAGTTTATGAAAGAAAATAATTGTAACTATGTTGAATAAATGTAATATTCTTCCTTTGAAATATTTTAACAGGGTTATATAACAAACTCATCACGAGTTGTGTCTAATAATTCTTCAGAGTTACTATTTGATTTGACCCAGGATACAGGATCATCACATTACCAAGGGGGACCGACGCTTTCTATACCAGGTTGGTTTTAGCACTTTTAAACAAAATTGTAAGAAACTTGATGAATATGCATATGTAATTGACTTTCTTGTAAGGTAGAATGGCGCTAATAGTTCATGAATACCTTTCTTGGGTGACTTTTTTTCCCCCTTGGATGGTTTTAAGTAAAATTTTATTTATTAATAAGACATTTTATTTTTATTTGTTTTTTATTTATTAATAAGACATTTTATTATTAAGACATTGGCTAATGTTCTTACTTGGCACTAAAAATGGGCTGAAAAATCATAAAATAATTTCTGTAAGTTATAGAAGTCCTCTGACACCATAAATACTCTGTTAAAAGAAGTATTAATTTCCATGACTAGTGTGAAAAAGTATATGGTTACAATTGATTTCCTAATTAGATTAGCGTCTTTCTATTCAGTAAAGCCTTTAGATACTGTAGTTACATATGATTATAGAATGCTATTATAAAGTGGTACAATAAATTTGTATATAGCCAGTACTCAGTATATGCCCATTGGAGGAATATGAAATTTCTCTGTTTAGTAGAATTAAAGTTCTTAGATTGTATACTAAAACATAGTTCTTCATTAACCTAAAATAATAGTAATCTATGAAAGAATTTCATCTAATTGAAAATTCCATGTAATGAAGGCAATTATGCTTTGTATCTTAGCAGTTTTGGTATATTTCAGATATTTGACTAAATACAGACAAGTAAGATTTGAGGGGAAGTTTTAGATTATTTACTAAAAAATCAGTGTGGAGAATCTACTAAACCCTCTTAACCATTGTTTTTTTTTTTTTTTAAAGCAAGACAGAAATACAAGCACACTTACTTTAAAAAAATTTTTTTTAATGATTATTTTTGAGACAGAGCATGAGCGGGGGAGGGGCAGAGAGAGAGGGAGACACAGAATCCGAAGCAGGCTCCAGGCTCTCAGCTGTTAGCACAGAGCCTGATGTGGGGCTAGAACTTATCAACCGCTAGATCATGACTTGAGCCGAAGTTGGATGCTCAGCTGACTGAGCCACCCAGGCACTCCTCTCCTCCAATTTTTTTTATTGTAATATTAGTGCCTAAAATGTTTTTTCATTTAGATAATATTGAGTTCATATTCATTTCTTGGTGTGTCACTTACATGCTTTATAAAAATATAGTCAGTACAATAGGTAAGAACCAAAAGAAAGAAGAAGAAAAATTGTTGTCTTAAGTCTGGTTTTCTAAAACATAGAAACTTTATTAATAGAAAAAGTGAATTTTTGAAACTTCTTGGGAGTAAGGACAATGACTCCTGCTCAACCTGTAAGTTTTCTGTTGCAGAGAGAGTTTAGCCTGAACAGTAAGTAGGATGAGAAGAAGATGTAGATTTCAACTGCCGTTCTTAAGATTTTTGTAGTCTTTATCAAGTCTTTATACTTCAGTTTTCTCATATTATTAAAATGGAGATTTAATTTTTCTTTTTTAATGCATTTATTTTCCAGGCCTGGAGTCAGCCATCAGGAGATATAATTTTAATTCTCACTCTACTTTAGTCAGAGATTTTTCAGGCACAAATAAGATAAATAAAATGAAAGTGCATTATGAACTTTATAAAAAAATTTTTTTGATGTCTATTTACTTTTGAGAGAGACACACACACGCAGAGCGTTGAGTACGGAAGGGGCAGAAAGAGGAAGACACAGAATCTGAAGCAGGCTCTAGGCTCTGAGCTGTCAGCACAGAGCCCAATGTGGGGCTCAAACTCATGAACTGTGAGATCATGACCTGAGCCGAAGTTGGATGCCTAACCACCTGAGCCACCCACATGCCCCAAACTTTAAAGGATTTGACACCAGTTGGTGTGAATGATAATATGTGTTTTATGTTCAGTAGTATGATTGACTACTCTGCAGTGATCATGGATATTTGGAGAAGATTGGATTTGAGCTTGTTCTTGAAAGGATTTTTACTGGCAGAGAGAGAACTGTTCAGAATAGGAAACAACACAAGCCAAAGACAACAGGGATAAATAAGTTGAAGGGTCAGAATTTAAAACTCCTAAATGCAGAGTGATTTTATTATATTAAAAATTTCTTATAGTAAAACAGTCTGTTTCTACTCTCCAGCCTGTTATGTAAGCAGATGCATAATTAAAATATCAGCATTCATTGGCTTTTCAGGTATCCTAACCATTTCACAAGAATGCTATTGTGATTGCACAAATCTTTTCCAGGTACCCATATTATAGCCATAATGATGTGCCTTGAGGATGGGAAAAAAATCATTTTTATGTTATTTCACAGGATGAACAGAGGAGCCAACTAATATAATATTCTTTATTTTTCTCGCATGTTTCCCCTTATTAAAAAGTTAATAGGTGAATCTATTAGAATAATTTTTTTCCTCTAAAGTAAGATACAGAATAATTTCATTAGTAATGATAACAGCTACCATTTATTATTGAATGCTTTCTATGTGCCATATATTGTATGGGTACTTTTTAAAAGTAAGTTAAGATACAAAATATTTTTTTAGTAATGATAGTAGTTGTCATTTATTATTGAATGCTTTCATCTGTCAGATATTGTGTTGGGTGCTTTAAATATATTATCTTAATTGATCTTAAAACAGCTCTGTAAAATAAGACATTATAACTCTTATTTTACAAAAGAGGATACTGAGGCTAAGAGAAGTTAATTAAATAAACCAAGAATACATAGCTAGTCAGTGACAGAGCCTCGATTTGAACTTATACTTTCTGACTTAAAACCCTGGAATATTTCTAATATATTTACTTTACTGCTCCTACTTTCAGTGTACAGTTGAGAGAATGAAAATATGGTGTGCAGTTTTAGAATGCTTATTACCATGTACAGTTGAATGTTATTTTCAAAAAGAGCTTTTGCCTGGCCTGGTTATATAGCCTAAATATCCCCATTTCTCTTGCTAATACTCTGAATAAGGCTTTCAGGTGATGGTTTTCAAACTGTTTTTAGGAGTAAAATTCCTATGCAAAAAAAATTTTATTCAGAAGCCTAATAAATAAAATATACAAGAGTTTCTCTGTTAGACATACCCCCTATATTCCCTAAAATGAGCCTTTTAGGCTCTGGGAACATAATTTGAAAACCTTTATGCCTACACTCCTTCCATTATGAGTCCTTTCATATTTTACCCTTGATCCTAGCCAAAAGGCCAACAAGCCATGGGCTCTTTCATATGAATGAGTGAAGTATTATCGTTTAAGATTAGTTTTTCTACTTTGACTTAGGAATTTTCCTCAAGTTTTTTTTTTCTTTTAAGTGTATTTATTTATTTTGAGAGGTGGGGGTGGTGCACAGAGAGAGAGAGAATCCCAAGCAGGCTCCACACTGTCAGTGCAGAGCTCCCATGTGGGGCTCCAACCCATGAACCAAGATCATGATCTGAGCGGAAATCAAATCAGACACTTAACCAACTGAGCCACCCAGGCACTCCTCTTTTTTTTTCCTTTATGTTCATTTGTTTTGATTCTTAAATTCCACATATGAGTGAAATCATAGCGTATTTGTCTTTTTTCTGACTGACTTATTTTGCTTAGCAGAATACTCTCGCTCCATTTATGCTGTTGTAAATGGCAAGATTTCATTTTTTATTTTTTTTTTAATGTTTATTTATTTATTAGAGAGAGAGAGAGAGAGAGTGCGTTAGCAGGGGAAGGGCAGAGAGAGAGGGAGAGAGAGAATCCCAGTCAGGCTCTGGGCTGATGTGGGGCTCGATCTCATAAACCGGGAGATCATGACCGAAACTAAAATCAAGTCAGACGCTTAATGGACTGAGCCACCCAGGTGCCCAAAGATTTTATTCTTTTTTAATATCTGAGTAGTATTATATTACACACATACACACACACACACACCCCCCACATCTTCTTTACCCATTTATCAGTCTATGGACATTTGGGTTCCTCCAGATTTGGGCTATTGTTGATAATGATGCTATAAACATTAGCATGCATGCATCCCTTCAAATCAGTATTTTTGTATCCATTGGGTAAATACCTACTAGTACAATTGCTGGATGGTAGTGTAGTTATTTTTAACTTTTTGAGGAACCTTCATACTGTTTTCTGCAGTGGCTGCACCAGTTTGCATTACCACCAACAGTGTACAAGGGTTCCTTTTTCACTGCATCCTTGCCAACACCTGTTGTTTCCTCTGTTAATTTTAGCCATTCTGACTGGTATGAGATGATATCTCATTGTATTTTTGATTTGTGTTTCCCTGATGATGAGTGATATTAATAAGCATCTTTTCTGTGTCTGTTGGCCATCTTTATGTCTTCTTTGGACAAATGACTATTCATGTCTTCTGCCCATTTTTTTTTTTTTAATTTTTTTTTCAACGTTTTTATTTATTTATGGGACAGACAGAGACAGAGCATGAACGGGGGAGGGGCAGAGAGAGAGGGAGACACAGAATCGGAAACAGGCTCCAGGCTCCGAGCCATCAGCCCAGAGCCTGACGTGGCGCTCGAACTCACGGACCGTGAGATCGTGACCTGGCTGAAGTCGGACGCTTAACCGACTGCGCCACCCAGGCGCCCCATCTTCTGCCCATTTTTTAATGGGATGATTTGTTTTTGGATGTTGAGTTTGAGAAGTTCTTTATAGATTTTATATACTAAGTCTTTATCAGCTATGTCATCTGCAAACATCATCTCCCATTTCATAAGTTGCCTTTTAGTTTTGTTGATTGTTTCCTTTGCTGTGCAGAAGCTTTTTATTTTGATGATATCCCAATTATTTATTTTTGCTTTTGTTTCCCTGACCTCAGGAGACCTATCTAGAAAGAAGTTGCTATGGCCAGAGTCAGAGAGGTTACTGCCTGTGTTCTCCTCTAGGATTTTGATGGTTTCCTGTCTCACATTTAGGTCTTTTATCCAGTCTGAATTTATTTTTGTGTATGGTGTAAGAAAGTGGTCCAGTTTCATTCTTTTGCATATTGCTGTCCAGTTTTCCCAGCACCATTTGTTGAAGAGACTCTCTTTTTCC